TACATGCATACCTTTATAAAAAGGGAGATAACAACTCACTAACATGTATATAATCAACCAATGAGGTAACTTGGCCCTCCGGAACTGTAACCAACCAAATCCATGATATCCTCAGATACAATGGAACAACAACAACAAAACTTTGCTCTACCAACTATGTGCGTAGTAAGCCAAAGATACACCTCTCACAACAACGTACCAGTTTACCAGGCGCTAGCTGGAAGGGTGTGGTGCCTTAGATTCTCAGCACAGTCAGTTCTCCAAGCGCTAGCTGGAAGGTCACAGTACCTCTTATTTTTAGCGCAAGGTATAACACCACCAACCAAAATGCAACAGGCCATAACTAACATGTAACACATATACATAAACCATCAAGATACAAGCAATGTGTTAAAGTCTATGAACACATAATTAATTCCCCCCGAGCAAGTATACATATATAATGTATCTCAGCACTTCCCCACATACAATGTTCAATCAACAATGGTATAATGCATACAAGACAATTCAACACAACCATGTCATCCTTCACCGATGACCAAGGACAAAACCTCTAGATGCAAGTATTTAGTACATCTATTAAAGACTCAATTACTATGAGACCACAAACCTAACAACAACACTAACACGGTAGTTAAAGATACAACCCCCACGTGTGTGTATTTAACACCCAAGAAACAACAATCCAATTTTCATACTTATATCAAAGATACTTTTCTCATTTCACAAAACAAATTTCATTTCCTTTTGTTTTCACAAAACCAACTCCATCCCTTTTGTTTCCACAAAACCAATTCCATTCCCTTTGTTTACAAAACCAATTTCGTTGATAATAAAGCCGTAACTCACATTAGTCCACTACATTCATTTCAAAACCATTCCAAAGCCAAAGTTAACCCCTTAGGCATTAACACCTTCACCCAACTCACATTAACAATAGATATTTACAACATAGGTTAACTACCCTCCATTTTAATTTACCAAATCAAAATATAATTTAGGGCTTTTTCTTCTTTCCACTATAACATGCTAATTTACACTCCAATTAGCCCAAAACAACCATCAATGATAAAATAACCTTTTTCAAACAACCAACCCTAGGTTCCTTCTCATGATTTCAAACAAATCCAACGTGGATATGATTTTCATGCAATACAAAACTACCACATGTCTATCTATAGACGAAGTATTGAAAAAGAACAAGGAAATCCCTACCTCAAATGTAGAACCCAAGGAGAAGAATAGTAAAACTCGGAAGTGCTCCAATTCCGAAATTTCTTGGATCAAAACGAAACCCTTGACGATCAACACACTTTTTACAAAGGCCCAAGGTGAGGAAAACACTCCTACTAGATCAAACCCTAGAGAGAAGTTAGGTTTTAGAGTGAGGAGCTCTCAATAATCGATTTTGGGAAAGTAAGAGAGAGAAAAGAAAAGTGAAAAGTGATTCAAAAAGTGATTTCACAGACTGATATAAAACAGGTCCGCTCGAGCGTACAACAACCCGCTCAAGCGTCAGACACAGGTTCACGCATGAGTGTCCAAAGATCCGCTCGAGCGCCGGATGCACCCTCCCAGAATTTTCTGCAGACGACTAAAATGCTGAGAGAAGGAAATTCACGCTCGAGCATCCAAACTGCCGCTCGAGCGAAGAGGCAACAACAAATGCCCGCTCGAGCGTCAAAGAGCCGCTCGAGTGGATAGACCAAAACCTGGGCAAAATTCTAAGTTTTAAAACACAACCAACTTATTTCCAACTTGCCCAACACAACCTAAAACTCTAAAACAAAGAGTAAGGGATAGAAATGAGGATAAGACAACAACAAATCTACGGGACCGAGTCCGGGTTACAGTTAAATAACAACAGGGAATACCGGGATCGCTATAGTGACATACGGCGTGTTTTGGAACTTTGCTTTCTCAACCTATGCAAAGTACCTCGTTGACAAAATTGTGTGATTTTGCAATTCCCAATAAGTGTACCACTTGAATGTTATTGTTGATCAATAGTTTTATAGCTTATCTAAATTTGAATTAAAGGAGCTTTTCTCTTCTCTTTTTTTTTTTTTTTTTTTTTTTTTTTCTGGATAAACTACCAATAGATCTGAATAGTTGAACTTAATTAACATAAAGTCCTATTGAAGAAAAGTCGTAGTAAAATCCTCACTAAAAATAATTTTGTGATAATTTTATGCATACGTCGCTAAAATTTGACAATTAGTGACTTCTTTTTTGTCATATTTTTATAAATTGTCACTAAAACTTACAATGAGTGATGTTTTTGATGAATTTTTCCAATTTTTGTTGAAAGTTAAAAATTAGTGACCTTTTTTCTTGATGATTTTTTTTAAACCGTAACTAAAACTTATAATTAGTGGCATTTTTTGAGACAATTTTCAAATTGTCGTTGAAAATTAACAATTAATGACATTTTTTAATAGCGTTTGATGAAAAATGCCATTAATTCTGAAAGGATCAATTGGATAATAAGTCCACCTATATTTGTGGAAATTTTTATATTTGCATTTTATTTTTTGAAACAATGATATCAATATATTAGAATTTTTTTATTTGTGTGTGATTTGAAAAGTCTACAATAATTAAATTTTTGAATATCTAACTTGAAATTTTTTTTGGAGCATCTACTATGAACACCCTAAAAACAATTCCCACAGTGGCCACTTATATGAGAAATTGCAAAGTAAAAATATAACCCCCGTAGCAGCAGCAATAGCCTCACCCAATCAGTAGTACACAATCAACATCAACAAAATCAGGACTTCCTTCAAATATAACAGAAATTCACAAACTAGGGCCACCAGCAATATACAATTGATTCATACACTTATTCAACATCCTTGACATCATTGCCTACCCAATCTCGCAAGACGTACTGCAAATGCATTTTCGGGAACTACATTTCCATAGGGACAGAATTGTTGGGATGCTTCTTCACTAGTTGATTGGCTACTCTTCTCTTCTTGCTTCTTGTACACAAGATGGACTCCAACCTCCTTCACTTGAAAATTGACATATCTAACCACTGAAATATTCAGTCCATCGCCACCTTCCAAATGATTTTCAAACTTCCAATAATTTAACCACATCATATACTCATCAACTTCTGGAATGCCAAAGACATATGGAGAATGGCTCCAAATCAAACTCTTGGTCATATTACTGATAAAAGTATGTGCATAGTAATTAAAGTCATAATCTTCTTTTCAATTAGTGGAAAGTGCATAAGTAGAACATACACTAAAGCATCGAATTTTGAAATTAAGATGCGATGGCATAGTAAACGATATCGAAGATCCTACATTTTTAAGATTAAACCAATCTGGAACCTTGCTTGTCAAAAAATAAGGATAGAATATGTGCTGATCATGACATCCCTGTGACGACATAAAACATAATTAATTTAACGATTATATATTTATATATATTGAGAGAGAGAGAGAGAGAGAAAGAGAGAGAGGACCTGCAGAGGAAGCTTTCTTGCACTGGGTGAGCCAAAGCATGAAATTGTGACATTTGAGCATCCAATGGATCCTATGCTGGACAGGCCCAAATTGTTAATTATCTCCATGTCGATATTTTCTAAAGGTTCAAACCTGAAGTCTTCCATAATTTCAACTAGATTGGGACACATGCCCAAGTTTATATTTTGTATCATGTGCGCAGCAAATTGATTTCCACATATGTTATTATCTTCTATAGGTAGTAGAAGTGATTGACAGGTTACTTTCTCCAACAATGTACATCCTATGAAATGTAATTCTTTCAATTTCTGTTGCACTTCAAGTGATTGGAGCTTTATGCACCTATTTAAATGAAGGATCTGGAGTCCAGTATGACCTCTGATGCAATTTGGGAGGCTACGAATTGCATTACAACTCAGATGTAAAATTTGCAATGATGAGGTTATGTTACTAAGATCCGTAGGAAAATCATCATTTGATAAATTACAGTTCTCAAGACTTAAGTGTACCATGGACTGTGGTAAAAGAGCTCATGAAATTTCCATGCTTTTTCTTGGCTTCAACAGAGAGCGATAGATGAATAAATGCCATGATTTGACCTTCTTATTGGTAGAGAGTAACTGACTTATGGCAATTCTATTTGCATGGAGAACTGTTAAAGACTCCATAGTTCCCATTCCTATTCGCAATTCCTCAAGATTTGAGCAACCTGAGATGTCAAGTGTTTCCAAAAGTTTTAGCATACAAATGCTTCTCAGAAGCTTCCTCAAATTTTTGCAATCTTTTAAATTGAACATAACTAGTCCTTAAAGGTGTCCAATGGATTCATTAACCTCAACCAGCCTTGCACAATTTTTTAATATCAACCCTTCTAGATTGGGGACTTTGAGAAGTCAGGTGTTTTAGTAAGGCAATGGGAATGACTAAGATCAAGGATTTTTAGTGACTCGAGAAACTGTAAAACAACAAAACAAGAAGAAGAAAAAAAAGTTACTATCAATAGTTTTCATACAATTAAAATATATATACATATTTTGTAACATACCTTGGCTCCTTTCCAAATTATTTGCAAGCTACAATAACTCATGTCAAGAACAATCAAACTCTCCAAAGGGAAATCACGGGGTATAGATTTGAAAGGAAATCCATGCCAACATAGCCATCGTAATTCTTTAGGAAAATTTTCCAAACTTCCACTTATTTGTACATACTTGAGCTACAAAATTTTTAGTTTGTGCATCCTTGAAAATGCATCAGCTTCCAATGGAATTTGACTTGAATTTCCTGGAGCAGTGCCTACATTTGACAACAATGGCGTGTTGAGAAATTCATCATAAAATTCATCATAATGACGTTTTCTATTAGCACCAAAGATTATTCTGTCATATTTTTCTTCCTTAAACAAATTCATATCAATAGCTTGGGTAAAACTGAGTGTTTAAAATCAGTCAAAAGGGGATTAGCAATTCCATGGTGTGGTAATTTCAATCCATTCTCCAAGTAACTCAAAGGGGGAAAATGTGGAGATCTGGTCATGAGATTGTAAGGCCAGCTGGTAAGCAGGGGAATGGAGGATGGCAACCGGTGGTTCGTAGACATGGGGATCGAGGAGTTGGGGGTCAAAGGGGGAATACCATATACTCTGTTTTTGTGGATAACATACCAGCATCTATGGGGGCGAAAGGGTTGTCTAAACTCTTCTCCAACTTTGGAGTTGTATTGGATGCGTATATTCCACAGAAGAGAAGAAGATCTACAGGTTCCAGGTTTGGATTCATAAGGTATGGTTGTCCGGTAGCAGCGAGTATGGCTCTGCAAAAAGCAAATGGCCTTTGGTGTGATGACAAAGCGCTAAAGGTTAAAATGGCTGAGTTCAGGAAGGAGTGTGAAAATAAGCAAAGCAAGTCACAACAAGTACAGAATATCATAATACATTATAAGAGATAAAGTAATACAATATTAACCTTCAAGTATTTTTCATAAATTAACCATCATAATATAACTTTAAAAGGTGACTTAACAATCTCAACATTCATGTATTCTCCACAACTAAATATCTATCTTCCACTTGGTCATTTCAGGACCAACCAATAATGTGCTATACAACAAGTTTCAATTTAACCATTTCTCATTTTCTTTCCATGGAACTTCCTTCTTACACATAATCATAGGAATATCCCAATCACATATACATCATGATACTAGACAACCAAAGATTTCATAACATCTTATCATTTTTCCAAAATAAAACCCCAATTTCTAGGGTTTTCACAAAACTAGGTTTTTTTTTTTTCTCACTTTTGAAAGGATTTTCCCAAGGCAACTCCCCCATTAACAATATAGTTCATACCCTCAAAAATTTTTAGAAAACATTGAGGAAAACCCACTTTTAAGATTATCAAGAACTCATGAGCCAAAATCAAGGTTCAATACTACAAGCGAAAGCTCCAAAATCAACATAAACTTGCAAAAATGTATATATAACTCTAAGAGAATCCCTACCTCAAGCTTTGGAGAGGAAGAGGATGAAAAACCCTAAAAATGGATGTTGAGAAAAACTCGATTCGATCAATGAAAACGTAGCCTTCTTCAATTCGATGTAAAAAGTCCTCTCAAATTCTTGGTAGATCTTGATAAATCTTAGAGAGAAAATTGAAATTTGATGGGTTTGCAACGAGAAGTGAGAGCAAATATGAATATATATATATATATATAGAGAGAGAGAGAGAGAGAGAAAGAGAGAGAGGACCTGCAGAGGAAGCTTTCTTGCACTGGGTGAGCCAAAGCATGAAATTGTGACATTTGAGCATCCAATGGATCCTATGCTGGACAGGCCCAAATTGTTAATTATCTCAATGTCGATATTTTCTAAAGGTTCAAACTTGAAGTCTTCCATAATTTCAACTAGATTGGGACACATGCCCAAGTTTATATTTTGTATCATGTGCGCGGCAAATTGATTTTCACATATGTTATTATCTTCTATAGGTAATAGAAGTGATTGACAGGTTACTTTCTCCAACAATGTACATCCTATGAAATGTAATTCTTTCAATTTCTGTTGCACTTCAAGTGATTGGAGCTTTATGCACCTATTTAAATGAAGGATCTGGAGTCCAGTATGACCTTTGATGCAATTTGGGAGGCTATGAATTGCATTACAACTTAGATGTAAAATTTGCAATGAGGATATGTTACTAAGATCCGTAGGAAAATCATCATTTGATAAATTACAGTTCTCAAGACTTAAGTGTACCATGGACTGTGGTAAAAGCGCTCATGAAATTTCCATGCTTTTTCTTGGCTTCAACAGAGAGTGATAGACGAATAAATGCCATGATTTGACCTTCTTATTGGTAGAGAGTAACTGACTTATGGCAATTCTATTTGCATGGAGAACTGTTAAAGACTCCATAGTTCCCATTCCTATTTGCAATTCCTCAAGATTTGAGCAACCTGAGATGTCAAGTGTTTCCAAAAGTTTTAGCATACAAATGCTTCTCGGAAGCTTCCTCAAATTTTTGCAATCTTTTAAATTGAACATAACTAGTCCTTGAAGGTGTCCAATGGATTCATTAACCTCAACCAGCCTTGCACAATTTTTTAATATCAACCCTTCTAGATTGGGCACTTTGAGAAGTCATGTGTTTTAGTAAGGCAATGGGAATGACTAAGATCAAGGATTTTTAGTGACTCGAGAAACTGTAAAACAACAAAACAAGAAGAAGAAAAAAAAGTTACTATCAATAGTTTTCATACAATTAAAATATATATACATATTTTGTAACATACCTTGGCTCCTTTCCAAATTATTTGCAAGCTACAATAACTCATGTCAAGAACAATCAAACTCTCCAAAGGGAAATCACGGGGTATAGATTTGAAAGGAAATCCATGCCAACATGACCATCGTAATTCTTTAGGAAAATTTTCCAAACTTCCACTTATTTGTACATAATTGAGCTACAAAATTTTTAGTTTGTGCATCCTTGAAAATGCATCAACTTCCAAAGGAATTTGACTTGAATTTCCAAGAGCAGTGCCTACATTTGACAACAATGGCGTGTTGAGAAATTCATCATAAAATTCATCATAATGACGTTTTCTATTAGCACCAAAGATTATTCTGTCATATTTTTCTTCCTTAAACAAATTCATATTAAGTGTGCGGCCTTCGATTTTTCTTGTCCCCTGACAATGAACATAATTAAGAAGCTCTTGCTTCCCAAAACTCCAACTACGCTATTGCCTTGGAGGAAGCATCTCACCAATACCTGAAAATGGTATTCCCATATAGGGTGAGCCAACAGCCCAGTGGAAATAATCTAACACAATTTATGAGGTTTAGCAAAGGTATAAATACCACGTACATAAACAATACCAATCCTGAAACATCCACAAGACCTGCATATCCATGTGTCACTAAGACCAACCTTATTCCATTTTCCTTTAATTTCATTTCCAATTCATACATGCTACTCAATTCATGAGTTAAATTCGTTATCTTTCAACAATCAAAATAAGACTACAACTCAATGATTTTCCAATTACGCAAAACTCACATAAACACTTCAAACCTGTCATTTTACGGATATTTCGCCCAAAGGAATCGACACACATTTATATATAAAATTTCAGGTCTTTTACCCAGGAAACTCCGGCCAACTGGCTTTAAATGGAGTCCACCCCTTTCTCCTCCCAAACAAATATACATATACAATGTATTTATAAACATAATCACATATGGAGTACATCCCCTTTCTCATCCCAATAAACATACATAGACAATGTATCTATAACATGGTCATATTCAATGACACCAACAATGGATTAGCATTAAATCGCCTAATCTTCATGTAATTTCTACAACAATCATAGTTATCCTCCACCAATAGCCCAATGCAATTATTTCTAAAGAGATGTTCAATATCAAAATAAATAGTTTATTCAAAACTTCCATAGGTGAGATAATACATATCTAATATCACCATTTATAATCACAACCTTCCAATTTCATGTTTTCAATGTTAATCCTAATTATTTATGCAAAATAATAATTTAATCAAAATTTAGGCAGAATCCCCCTTTCACCAAATATCAACCCAAACATCAAAATTAACTATTTTGGCACAACATGATCTTATATTCAAGCCTCATACTCGTTTACCTCATATTCATCAAAACCCCTCTTTTCTTTTCACACCCAAATCCTAGATTTGTCCAAACCACAACCAAATCTCATCATCTATACACAATAGCAAATAACTAAGCTAAAAACCATATTAGAGTGTAGAAAATCCCTACTTCAAGTTTTGAAGAAAATCTGAGATAAAACCCCAAAATCTACGGTGTCGAAACTCAATCTCCACCACACACAATGAAGCCCTCGAGGTGATAACCAACTTTGGTGAAGAACTTAGGCCTAAATCCCAATGGATTTGGAGAAATCAAAGAGAGAAGGTGACTTCTTGAGAGAGAAGCTCTAGACCTAGAAATTTGGTGAGTTTTAGAGAAAGGGGAGGCTGCAAAAAGTGATCTTAAACCCTAATTTACGGACTGATATAACAAGGTCACTTGAGCATGAAATACACTTTCCCATAAGCAATTTCGAATGCATTTTGCATTTTTCCTTTCAGCGAGCTCGACCCCTGAAGTTGACCAGGTCAAAATCGGGATTGCTACAACCTCCTCCCCTTAAAGAATTTCGTACTCGAAATTTCAAATCAAACTACCCAAACAAAGGGGTTTCTAGCGATCAAAACCACGCTATTTCATTTTTAAATCACAATATTAACTCTCAACCAATTTTTTTTTTCTGCCATTTCCACAATGGTTATCTTATCAACAACAACCGTCCACATCAACCTAAACATGAAGCAAAGAAATGACAATCCGTAACTACTTCATGCTTAACATAACAACATGTGGTCAACAATTTTAACACATTTCCCTCAAACACTAGGGAATATTACAAGGAAAACAACTTAAGCATTTTCAAACAAATCCGAATACTTAGAGCAGACTTCCGCCTCCCGTTCCCATGTCGCTTCTTCAACCCCATGGTGTCTCCATAACACCTTTACCAACGGTATAGTTTTTCCCCGTAGCACTTGCTCCCGGGTATCTAATATTTGAGCTGGTCGTTCTTCGTAAGAGGCATCCTAATTTACCTCCAAGTCAACCTAATCAAGCACATGAGAAAGGTCAGGTTCATACTTCCTAAGCATAGCTACATGAAATACGTTGTGAACTCCCGAAAGTTGCAGCAGTAAAGTTAACCGGTATGCCACTTCTCCAATTCGCTCTAAGATCTCAAATGGCCCAATGAACCTTAGAGATAATTACCACTCTTACCAAATCTCATCAAACCCCGCCTTGGTGAGATTTTTAGAAACACATGATCACCAACTTCAAAAGATAAAGGTTGTCTCCTCTTATCGGCGTAACTCTTTTGTCGACCTTGGGCTGTAGCTACTTTCTCAGTTGTCTCTCTAACAATTTCCGAACTCAGTAACGGTCCGTCACCCACTTCAGCCCAACAAACCGGTGATCTACAAGGTCGGCCATACAAGGCCTCAAATGGTGCCATCCCAATACTAACTTGATAACTTTTGTTATAGGCGAACTCAACCAACAGTAAGTGGTTCTCCCAAGGCCCCTTAAAATCAAGGACACAAGCTCTAAGCATGTCCTCCAAAATCTGAATGGTACGTTCTGACTGTCCATCGGTTTAAGGATGATAAGCGGCGCTAAGAGTCAACTTAGTTCCCAACGCCTCTTGAAGGCTTTGCCATAACCGGGCAGTAAAACGAGGATCTTATCTGACACAATAGCCACAGGGACTCAATGAAGTTGAACTATCTCTCTAATGTACAACTCTGCCAAGCATTCAACCGAGTCGCTGGTGCACATTGTAATGAAATGGGTAGACTTAGTCAACCTATCAA